CAAGGCTGCAACATGAGGGAGCTCGCGCCGGGCCGGGCCGGGCCGGTAACACGCGCGCGCCGAGCCGCAGTCCGCGCGGGACCAGCGGGCTACATGGACCGCGGTGGGCCGGGACTGCTCAACTCCAGCCGCCCTGGAGCCTTAGGGGAGTCGCGGGCGAAGCGATGCTAGAAACACCCCGCATGGGACGGCGAGTCTTCAAAAGTTGCGCGGCTGGTACACGAGCACAAAGCGCTTGCGTCGTACCCCCAAATGTGTCTGCACAACTCTGCCTTCAAGAGCCAAGTGCTGCGCTGCATGGGCTTTCCCTGCAGGATCCGAAACTCAGGCTTGTGAATAACTCCCAGATCCCTGCAATGAAATAAAGTAAAATAAAAATAAAAGCAAAGCAAGAAAAAGATCCCAAACAAAACCCCAAATGCTTGGATTTGCACGCACGAAAAGCAACTCCGTCTCAGGTCTCGGGCGCTCGGTGCTCTGGGGGCAAATCTCTCCTGAACGCGAGTGTCAACACATGAGTGGAAGCCGTAAAAAAAAAAAAAAAATCCCAAGAGCTGCTAGGAATCCTTAATTAAAAATGCAATCCACCGAGGCAGAGGTCGCAGCCCGCCCCACGCTGCGCTGGGTCGCTCCGGGCGCCGCGGCTGCCGAGGTCGCCCCCCCTCCCCCCTCCACCAAAGTGCCTCCCGGTGGCCCCGCGGTCCCAGCGAGGTTTGGCGAGGCAGCGCCCGGCGGCTCTTTCTCTGGGCTCGGCTCCCTCGCTCGCTCCCCCGCTCGGCGCCCTCTCTCTTTTTTGTTCTCCTCAAACGCACACTGAGGGCCCCCGGAGGAGCGCCGCGGAGTCATTGGCTGCCTCCCATCATATGCCAGTCTAGACACTTTGGCGGCTCCGCGGCGCTGATTGTTGCGCAAACAAGGTTTCAAGTTTCTTAACTCTTAAAGGAGAACACGTCCCATTGCAGAGCCCGAGGCTCCGAGGGGGCTGGTTCCCGGGGCGGGACGAACCCGGGCCCCCCCCCCTCTCCCGCCCCTGCACCCCCGCCCGGAGGTTTACAGCGCCCGCGACTTGCTCACTAGCTCACGTCGCGCCTTGGGCACGGATACGAGCGATCCCGCACACGCGCTAGCAAACACACACACACCCTGCTACCCAGCTCTGCTCGGTGAACCCACAGCGACCCGGATTCCAAGGAGGCCCTTTGCCTCAACCCTGACTTGTGCACAAACTTGCAAACACTCATCGCACTTTAGAGTCGGTCCAAACCCCCAGCCTCAGCGCCGGCTAATAAAAATGGGCGTGTGTGTGCGCCTTCCTGCCCTGCGTCTCTGGGGAACTAGGAGGGCGGCCGAGAAGTTGGGGTACCGGGATCTTCTGTGACCCACGAAGGCTCCACGTACCTCCTTCTCAGAACTAGGGGTCTCACTACAGGCTACGGGGGCAGAGAACACTTCGACCGAGAGAGCTCCAGGATAGCCGGAGGTGGGGACTTGGACTGGGTGGGGTAGAGGCGGGAGTGCGCTTGCTCTTGGAAGTCTCCTCTCGGTCGCCTAGGCTATCCCGCCAGGCTGCCTGGCGTCCCAGGGCCCCCTCAAGGCCGGGCGCTTCCTTTTCCCTTCTTTGATTTACTTTCTGAACCTTCGAGAGGGATGTGGATGAAGGGGCGTGCTTTCCCCAGCTATGTTCCACTATGAAAATAGGGGCAAGTTGGGGGACAGACTTGCAGGGCCTGGCACGGGAAGGGTTAAGGCCGCTCCTGCCCTGGAGCCGGCGCGGCGGGGTACCTCCTCGGGCGTGCTAGCTTGTCCGAGGGTGGCAAAAGTTCAAGCTTGTAAAGTCCGGATTGGTCCCGCGCGGAGGGGAAAAAAGGCCTTGTTCCCCCTCCCCCTCCCGGGCGTGGCGCCGATTGGCTCAGCCGCGGGGCCGGCCCCGCCCTCCCCTGGTGAGTCGCGGCCCCACCCCCGGCGCAGCGCCACGCCCCCTTCCGGGCAGGAGCCGAGCCGGGAGCTCAATGAAAGAAATTCCGCTACTCTCATTGGCTTAGGGCTGGACGCCGCTCCCCGAGGGAGGCAGGGTGCAGTGGATGGGGTGTGGACTTGTGATTTCCCCCCCCCCTCCTATTAGGATACCCCTGAAATGGGCTGGTGTCGTCGCGGCGTGTAAGCCCAGGGCCAGGTCTGGGTGTGCGCTGGGAGGAGGGGCCTTGCTTGCAAGCCTTACCTGGAGTCAGGTACTCCTATGCTGCGAGGGCCGATTGTCTCGCCCACCCCTTACTGTTTTGACCACGGTGAAATAGGAATAGTCCTCACCACTGTTTCTCCTTTAAAAATGCTGGAGATGATGCTTGCCTCACAGAGCGAAGATTACAGGAAATAGGGCTTACTAATAAGTGTACACAACCCAAGTGGACCGGCAGCACCCACACGAACTTGCCTTTTGGTTTGTCTCTTTCTCATCCATGAAATTGGTGGCTCCTAAAATACAAAGAAAGCCCTATGGGATTGTGCACGCCCATTAGCTCCAGCACTTAGGAGGTGGATCAGGAGTTCAGGACTATCCTGGCCTACATCTTGAACTGGAAGCCAGCCTGGGGCTGCATAAGACCTTGTCTCCAAAAGTCCGCCCAAAATAAAATAATAAATATAAAAAGAAATCAAGTATGTTTCTTTTACGAAGATATTTGTTGCCTTGACTTTAGGTTACAATAATAACAACCTGTGCTTTGAGCTCTTTACCCGGTAGCAGAAGTTTCAAGCCAACCAGCATGTATTCACTTACATCTCACGGTCTTTTATTTTCTCTGTGTGCAGATAAGGAAACTGAGGCACAGAAGGGTAGGATACTTCCAAAAGAGTTCCCATACCCCCAGCCCTGGAGAAGTATATGAGCTGAGGCTTTTGTCTCTCCTGCCCCTTACACTCCTAGCACAAACATCTCTTCCTGCAAGGTCCTTGAGGAATACCAGGCCAGGAGAGACTAAAGCAGGACTTCAAGAAGCCTGCTACCTCAAACCAGGGACTAGAGAGATGGCTTCTCACTAAAGTACTTGCCATGGTGGCCTAAATTTGGATGCCCAGCGGTCCATGTAAAAACCAGACACAGCGGTGCTGGTCTGCAGCCCAGATGTGGGGAGACTCGGGCAGAGAAGCAGATATCTGGGGCTCTCTGACCAGCCAGCCTGGCTGAATGGATGAGCTCCAGCTTCAGTGACAGATCCCGTCTCAAAGAAATAAGGAGAGGCATCGAGAAGACACCCAATGTCAACCTCTGATCTCACACATGCACACACCCACAACACATATACCGTAAACGCACACTAAATAAATGATCAAAAAAAAGGAATCAGTAAGAGGGCTGCTAACATAAGCAAAATTTAGTTTCTTGGCACTTACTCAGTGGGAGATGTAGGGTGGGGACAGTACCTAGGAAGGACACCCCTCACTGCGACCAGAGTCTGGTAGACCTGAGTTCAGGACCAATATTACGGTACTTCTCCACTCGATAAGTGTGGGTTATCTATCCGCTATAAAGTGGGAATAGGAACCACAGGGGGCAGCTGCCAACATTAAGTGAGAAGAAGCCTTAGATCTGCACTCTGCTGAAGGCCTGCTCCTTCTCAGGGCCCATCCAGCTTAGTGCTTGGCACACCTTGTAGCCACTAGAGGGTGTGTGCAGTAGGGCGCAGCTTCACAGGCCTGTGGAGCCACAGCTCTGACCTCCACCCAATTAAACAGCCAGGATTCCCTAGGATGTAGGGAAAAGAGAGGGAAGGAGGAAGGCAGGATCCCAGCTGCCCATCCTCAAGGTCCTACAGCTGCAGGAAGTCACCCAGGAAGAGGTGACTCTGAGCCCTCTGTCTCCTCCATCCTTCCTCTCTCCTCGGAGCACTCCATGTGTCTGCACTTCAGTACTGTCCCACAGCACGGTTCCGTGTTCTCTCTTCTGAGACAAAGCCTACAAGGGCAGAGATGGGCAACTTGTCAGGCCAGGCCACCCTCATCAGCATGGATCAGAATAAGGCTACTGGGAACCCTTCTGTCTGAGAGGACACTTGCCTCACTTCTCCTGACCCCCCAAACACTCAGTCTCTGTAGGGCAGCTGAGTTAAAATCCCCCACTTCATTGAATTCTCCATCCTACCTGGCCAAACCCTCCTAGGCATCCTCCTCTCCCATCCTCCTGGCAATACAAGAAAGATCTTGTTCTTTCTTCCTAGACTCTTTTAAAGTGCCACAAACACAGAGAGGTTAGACTATTTGTTTCTGGTCATACAGCCAGTAGGTGGCAGAGTAGAAACCAGGTGAGTGAGCACCTCCTTAGAGTACACCTGGTTCTAAAAAAAAAAAAATTGGTCTTTTGCCCTTGGGAAGTTTCCACACTAACTGGTGAGGAACGAGGCATGAGACAGCAGAAATCACAAACGCTAGAGCTTGCTTTCTGGGTGGTGGGAAGGAATCTGGATCTAGGGAGCACAGTTTACAAACAAAGAAGTCATCACAAAGCCTGGCCATCTCTTGTCATAACTAAATGGATTAACCAGAAGACTCATGATAACCCCTGCACAGAGACTGATGCAGATCCCCAGATCCTGCCTATTAACTC